AATCACTGACAGTAGAAAGCCAAAGAAAACATGTGAAATCTCGCATTAAATAATGCATCATGATCAACTGCAATAGATACCAAAATAATGATTGGCCGTGTATTTTTGTCTTGGAAGCACCTGTCTATTTTATTCACTAAATATATATTTTTTGCTGTTTGTATTAGAAATAAAATGGCAAAAGACTGAAGGTGAGAGGGATGAGGGAAATATTGCTACTAAAATAACCAGAATCTTTAGAGAATTGTAAAAATAGCCTTCCTGCCGCAATAACTCTAACTGCTCTGAATCTCCCTTTTTTTTCTTCCTGCTTTTGGTTATAGGCTAAGCTAAGGCATTATTTCAGAATATATCTTACATTTTTACTTTATTCACAGAGAACTTTCTCATTAATTTTCAGTAAGAAGACATTGTTCTTTTTGATTGTGATTTTGGAATCCTGAAGTGATTAATTTAAGACAGTGATGAATTGTAGTGTTCTGTTAGGCTCACTGATTTTTAAAAACATTTTTTATTGTTCAAAGGTTTGCTCTGTTAGAATTATAGTCAACTAAAGTGGCTTTACTTTTCTGTGTACTGTTGAAATTACAGGTTTGTAAATACTGTGTAGAAATACTAGTCTGTCATGTGAATGCAAATTATGAACAAAATTGAGTTGGGAAGGATACCAATCAAATTACTTGAAATTCCTCTTTAATGTTTGTAGGTTCCAAGGATATTTATCTTTTTAAAAATGATAGTTAAAAATAGCTTTAAAGGGTAATTTTTTCTTGGAGACCTTCTGAAGTGGAGTTGTATTTAGGTTGCTTAAATCAGCTCTAACGAGAGAAAATGCCAGGCAGGTCTGTGATCAGGAGCAAGGAGAGATGCAAGTGGAGCAGCAGAGCCTACGAGAGATGATACCAAAAGGAGCCCTGGACTTAAGGAGCTTGGCTTCTGTTATGGTTTACTGAATCTGATTATTTTGTTGTGGTGTCTCAGTCTTGCCCTCCTGAAAATGGCAATCACAGTGCTTATACTTTCTTTAAAATATCCAAGAGTCACTAATTAATGCAGAAAAGATGGTTTTCTTGGCTTATTTCATAGGACCTCTTTCATTTGGCTCTTGAAATAAGAGATGTCCTACTTCAGCTTAAATTCTGGGACCTTTCTGGATAGAGTTTATAAATTGGTTTGGGAGACCTCATTTCTCCCAATGGCCGTGGTCTCTGTTTCCCACCATGAACCATCGAAGTCGGATGGTTCGGTTGAGCCTTGCTGCTCTCTGCGCAGCTGGAGCACTCACCCTGCAGCACATCCGTACCAGGGTGCCAAGGGCCTGGCACTTCGGATGTGAGATTTGGGCTAGGCAGAACACTGAGAAATCAGAGGGATTGGCTTTGTATTACACTTTGAGCTCAGCTTTCATTAGATTCCTGGACTGCTTCAGTCAGGTCTAGCTTGGAGCTAATGAATAATCATGTGAATTTGCCCAGTTTGCTTTAAACAGCAGAAAAATTGTCAGTTATTAGTTGTCAGTACACTACACTGTGCTACCTTGAAGGGGCCTAAGTAACTGTCAGCTTAAACCTCTTGTAAGCTCTAGGATGAGCACCTCTATCAGAGGAAGTATGTATTGACCTCATACTTGTTGTTTTGAGACAGTTGTAACTGGTATTCCAGGGAAAAATAGAAATTCCTTTCTTCTTGAGTATTTAGTATTGGGTCTTTTCTTGGTATGGACTTTGAAAGATTGTTTGCAGATGTGGAAAAGGGTAAAACAGTGAGAAAAATGTGTGGCAGGTCTTTTGCAAAAACTGAAAACAGTAAATGCTTGTTGCAGTTTGCAGGTAACTCATGTGTTGCATGAAGAAGGATTAAGCACAGCAAAAATGTATACATGCCAAATCAACTCTATTCTATGCGCTTATGCCAGGCAGTAGGATCACGTCCTAGCCTCATTTTCTTCTTTGCTTATTTTTGCCTGTAAGATCTTTTAATTTTACTTTTCCCTTCCTTTTCAGGAGTTATGTCTTTTAATCATTCTGTAAGGGCTGAGCTGTTGAGCAATCACTCTTTCACAGATATTCTGCTTAGTAGAAATTCCAGTACTTATACAACTGAATGAATGTTTGTCTTTGGTAAAAATGCTGGGTAATCATTTTTGGCTCATTCAGCTGTAGTACTGAGTTCCCTTTGCATAGCTTGAGAAGTTGGTGTTCAAGTTCAAGCCTTCTATTATATTTATTTGCATCTAATATATGTAAGTCTAAATTCTATGTTATTTATAAAATAGTATTTGGGTCCAGTGGCATTAGGTGCTATGAACTTAAGACAATTCTGTAATCTGTTTTTCACATGAAGTCATTAGATATTGTTTGCTGTTAATGCACCGTCTTATCCTGACAGCTTATTAGAACTTTTATGGATGTGCAGGTATTGTCATACACACCTGTCCTGAAAAATATAATTTTTTAGAAACTGCAGAAAAATTACTGCAGAATTGGAAAGACAGTAATGAAGAAGACCAAATAATATAGCAAAAATAAAAAGATTGACTTTCCAGGTCATGTTTTGATATATGATGTTTACTGCAGCAAGTTCACCTAGGTGTGTGGTTTTTAGCACAGGGTAAGGAGAAATATCTTTAAATCATAAGTGTGTGCATTTATTCCAATGGGAATAGATCATGTTGAGCTAGGCACTGAGTAGCTCTTTACTTGTTTATTTTTCAAAAGAAACATTTATTCTGTGTTTGAATTTCAAGGTTTTTTGTCCTCTACAAATGCAGAGGAAATTGCACTGAGACTGAAGCTATGTTGCTTTCTAAACTGAGAAGAACAAATACATTTTTTATATTTTATATAATACTTTATAGATTTTGTTAACCATTGGGTTTGGGAGACTTTTAATAATTGAGGAATGTGGCACCATATTTTGCTGTTATTTTCCCCAAACACGTTTGAGAGTGATTGCTTAAGAAGGGTAAGACACTGACTCTGTGGTCAGATTTGCTCGTGTTCCTGGAATGGGAGCAGGGAGCATTGGCAAGAGCTTCCGAGGTGCCCGTGCTGCTCTGCAGGCAGACCTGGTAGTCAGCCGCGTCCTTCGCAGCGCCACGTGGGTGTTCTGTTCATTTTTCTGCCTTTATTGTTATTCCTCAGAGCTCCCCTGCAAACTTCTGTGATAATCTCCACAGTTTAGCTGGTGGGGTGCTGTAAGACTGCAGGACTTGAGGCTGCAAAGCTAAAAACAGAGCAACACAGGCATCTGCCCAGCCTCTGCTGGCTGAGGGGGTTCCTGACTGTCCAGGACTGTATGCAGGGGAAGCTACTGCTTCCTAGGCCTTCCAGGTGAACACAAATCTGCTGTACACTTGTGTTTTCAATAATACTTTTCATATTATCAATGTAGATACAGGGCTCTGTTTCCCTAGCTCTTAGTGCCTATCCCTTCCTCAAAGATGACTTGAAAAACAGATGCCGCCTGAAAAATGTGTTGTGCGCTTTTGAACACAGAAGCGGCGTATAGCTTGAATGGGATAAAAGCGATATATGTGCAGGGGAAGGGAATAATTAATGTATAAATAATTTCAGTTTTTACTGGACTTTTTAACCTCTGTCAGGTTAACACTATTAAATTCTCTTCTGTCTTTACTATTTCAAACCATTACAGCATTAGCTTCCCCTACTTCCCTCAAAATCAATTCCCAGCCTTAATTCTAGTGTCTTTATATTCCTTCTTCCTAACATTTGCCTTTCTTTCCTCAATGTGAATGAGCTATTCATTCAAGATAAATACATAAAACAGAAGATCAGCTGTTTAGCTTCTCCCTGTGGTGAAATATTAATCTGGGGCTCCTGAACTCGTTCTATTTTTATATGGAAAATAAGTTGATTTGCGTACTCAGAACCAAAATCAATGGTGGTAATATCACATAATGAAAACTGCAGCGTTTTTTTTCCAATGCTTGTAAGACTGTTGTACGCTTTTCCTGAGGCTCCTTATGCAGTCCGATTATTGCAAATGCTACTTGCTCCCCAGTGTGTTTCTGCAGCATTGGTAATTAGTGTGCAATACAATTTGTAGGAACCTTGAAGAAATGCACTCAGGTGTATTGATTAACACTGCTGCTTAGTTTAACAGCAAGACAAGAAACTACTGTGCACCAAGGGCCTAAATTACTTTACAGGGAGTGGGGGTAGAATGGGTGGTAGGCCCTATGTCGTAGGCTGTTTGGAGACAAAAGTGATTCAAGTGAAATTATAAAAATTCACTGTGCATATTGACCTGACAGTATTCACAAAATCTTCCTCAAGGCATTCTATTGCAAGCACACACAGATTTAATATGTTGGGGGCAGGGGGAAGGGCATTGTAGTTCTATTAAACATATCTGTCATTGGACAGAGTACTTTCAATTCGAAATGGATGCAGCTGCCATCTTCTTGATCTTGTCAGGTATTTGCAGCCTGTTGCAGGTGCATTGATAATTTCTTGCATTTGGAGGTGGAAGTAATAAATTACATTCTATACATTCTCTGATCTAACTTATCCCAAATGTTTGGCAATAATAACTTCCTTAAAGGGGTAAGAAGTCCAGTGTTAAGGTTGCTTATTAACCTCCATGAAAGAATGAAGAACATAAGCACCCCCACCCTCCATTTTTTTAGGCTGCTTCTGCCTTGTTTTTCTAATGTAACTATTTGGTTAAATAGTTGTTATTACTTTATGAAAGAGTATTAATGATATGTATACATAACTTCCATTCCATATCAGAAATACATCCTGAAAATATTTAGTAGCCAAGTTTAGGAAAACACATATCACATTTTAAACAGCTAAATTTTTCCTTTGACTCAATTTGTGCTTTGCTGTGAGTCTGGAAAAAAAAAAAAGGAATTCTTTCTCCCTTCTGCTGTAAATAAGAATATAGGAGGCCTTTTTAAGAATAAGAAATCTGAAGTTTGTGTTTCTTTCTCCAAATGAAAAATCATTATGTTGATCTCCATTTCCAATTAGAAATACATATTCTGGAACAGAAAAGAGAAGACTCTGCTGAATTCGAATTTCGTCAAAATTTTTCAAAAAAAGCAGATTTTTTCATCCAGGCAGAAGCTGAAGCCCTGCATCATTTAGATTTGCCAATTACAATTCAAAGTGGGGGATCCCCAAAAGTGTGTGGTGATTATAATTCCAGTCCAGAAGAGTCAAGGTAAATATAAACATTCTGACTTTTTTGTTTTGTTTTATAGTATAGAAGATCTGCATATGGATTTGGGGATAAAAACAGGGAAGTTTGGTTTGCAGCAGATGATTAATATGTCAGCTTTTTACTTAGACTGGAAAATCCTTGTTTGTGTAAAAAAAAAATGTGCATTAGTAAGAGCACTATGGTCTTGATAATTAATGGCTATATGCCGTCACTAATTTGTCTCCTGAGATATAGTCCTCTGTTACAGTCTTAGAAAATGTATTTGTGTTATATTTATGATATAATAAATGCAGGTACAGCCAACTGATCGTGGAAACCGAGTAAGTTTAGAGTGATTTCGATTTTCTGGAGCACTCATCTGAAGAGTGCAAGAGTTGTTTTTAAAACAGGATACGGAGTCTGTGACAGGTTTTTGAAAAATTTACTCTTGCTCTTCACTTCTCTAACAAAGCTTCTATGCCTGTTCCTGTTATCTTTAGTATGATCCAGTGGTGACCCGCTAGGCCAAAAACAGTCCACGAGACCTTTCCATCTGGATTGTTGTTTTTTGCATCAGAGTCTGAGATGTGCTGTTTGGGCAATGCATCCTACTCTCACAGCCAAATATATTCCCAAGTGCTTATGTACAGCCCAGCGCTGGGTCAGCCAAGGATTGTTGCTCCTACTGTCACTAGTGCTGCTCAGACCGGCCATCAGGCTGGTCTTCAACACTGAGATTAACCTCCTGCAGCTGTCAGCATGTTGAGCCATCTCTCATTTGTGTAACTATTGCATATAGGATCCCAAAATAGGCCAAGATCTCATTGTGATAGGTACTGTACAAAACCTGTCCTTCCCAAAATCATTTATGATCAGAATATAAGTTGAGAAGATGTCTTGATGAAGACAGACCAAGGAAATATTGGGTCAGTGTTAGTATTTTAGTCGATGGTCTTAGTGCACCATCGACGTGACTTCTCAAGCTTTCTGTTAGAGTTGTTCTCAGAGGGCAGATCTTAAGTCCTTTCCTAAAGAACCTGCATGTGCTGTGGAGAAAGGGAACTAATGGAAGGAAGGAGTAGCTAAATGCAAACAGTTGGGTGCCTGCCAAAGAGAATGACTCTGTATCAGCATAGAGCTTTCCTTCCTCCTTTCTCACTTTCCTAACATGGGATTTAGAAATGCAGATAACATGAGGAAAGTAATGCATATAGTTAAAATATAAGTTCAGGTGGTGTAACTCTTCTCTGGATGCTTCTTAAGACTCATACCTGCCTCTAATCTGTGAATCTGTTTACTTTGCTCTGAATTTAAAGTGAGATTTTTTTTTGACAGAATTCTTATGTCCCTCGTTAAATTTCTGTTGCTGAAGCTTACACATTGTGTCATTTTCTTAGACTAGTCAATTGTCAGTATGTCAACAGTTGGTGCACCCATTAATAGCAAAATTTTTGTAACAAAGTTTCAAAAGCTAAATCCAACCTTCTTCCTTATAAAAATACCTGAATTAATCTGGTATTATATTCCCTTGCTTGTAGTTAAACAAATGACCGTAAGACTTTCTGGATGGTATAAAGTAACTTCCAGCATCTAGAGATGCCTACAGTTCTCACTTCATTTCATATAGCAGTCCATCTTTCTAAAGAAATTGATTTTTTCAGTCAATTTTTTTTCTGTCTTCAAAGACATCTGAGCATCTATTTCTTCCCCCACTGTCTCATTATTTTGTCTCTCTAGGATAAGACAAAGCTTTTAATATTTGTTTCTTTTAAGAATTCTCTGTTTATAGGTGTCATAGCTGAATTTATATTCATCTGTCTTATGCCTTAATGTTATACTATGTTTATTTAATCTTTCAGATTTACAGATTATTTCAGAATTATGGTTTTTAATCACATTTTAAAATTGCTTGGGTTTTTCATATTAGCAGATTTTTTTTCCTTTTCCCTTCCCCAAAACAGCTCTACAGAAAGAAAGAGTGAAAGGGTGCTCCCTAACTTTCTATCTTCATGGAAAGATGCTGGAGGTGGAAAGACAGAAACTGCAGTCCTTTTAAAAGAATTGGACACTCTAAGGGCCAAAAATACAAAGGTAAAATGGAGATATTCAAGTCACAGTATTTGCTTTTTTTATTGTTGCCTTACAAAACTTACATTTTAAACTGTTCCTAAGTTAATTTTATTATTTATTTTAGTGTACTAATCAATAGCTTTCTTGTCATTTAGATTTGTAGTATTTGTTTAACATCTGCATCTATGGAAGTAACAAAAAAAAAAAAACACCTTTCATCCCAATCTTTGACCTTTTTAGTCAGTGACATCAGTTCCTGCATCATAGAAGAGAATCAAATGAATTGCCCAAATCACCTCTAAAACCATTTTCTTAGGGGTCTCAAAATATCTCTAAAAAACCAGATGTAGTTTGGAAATGGTATGGCCACTGAAATTTTTGGAAAGGTTTTCACTGGTTTGAAAAATCTTTGGATCCAAGTCTACAGTGAAATGGTTTCATAGCATAATAAATGTATTAAAAATAAAATAGCAATTCACAGTAATGACTGAAATCACAACCATGTTACAAAGCTCTCCAAATTGGTAATTCATATTGGTCCATACAAAACCAATGGGAATTCATTAAACTTGTATGTTGATATATTTTCACAAAAAAAGTAATTGTGCATTAATTTAATATTTTCATAGATGCAGCCTCTAAGCTTAGAGGTAGATGAAATCTTGAGAGAGGGCATTAAATACTTGTTAAGAGAGGAAAGCCTACTGTTTTATAGCGTGCATGTTGCTTGTAAGAAATAACGAACTCCTTTGAGGCCCAGTCCTAAAAACATAATGCACTGTGATAGTAAACAATGAGACAATTCTTATATAAAGTTATGGTTATGTGGTTTAGTATAAAAAAGTTATGGTGTATAGATGTTAAAATGTCAATAAGACATTAAATTTGTATTTCCCATTTTTTATTAAATGCTTCTTGTTACAGTTCAGGGGGCATTTCCTCATGATACTGATCCCTAGTTTGTCACCTCTGTCCCAGAAACAGCCATTTATACCACAACATGTGTGTGTGTGTTTTTTTTCAATTCCAAGCTTTAATACTCGTTTCCATCCTTTATTTCATGTTTAATTTAGCATGATACCAGAAATGAAATCGTATCCGTTTTTGCCTATTTTTGCTATTTTAGGATATCTTAGTCCATCATGCATTCAATTGAAAGTAGTATGTATCTTCTCAATGGCTGTCTTAGCCTTCTGTCTTTAGCAGAGTAATCTCCCTAAGATTTCTGGGCCTCTTTTGTTGAGATAGTACTCAGTTCTGAAGTTGGCTCTTTACCAGAAGTCGTCTCAGCTTGTATTTTTTGAGTGCCATTTGAATTTGTTTAGCTTCTGATGCTCTTGTCTCATCTCTTTAGTCCTTTTTATATAATGAGTACAGGGCTTCAGCTTTGTCAGTATAATATTTCTAAAACAATGGAATCGTTTTAATGATGAAACTTTGACTTAGTTTGAAACTTTCTTTCAAGGATATACTTTATCTTCACATTCCACTTGAGAAGGCCCAGCAGTCCATGACAACCTTTTCAGCTCTTGAAGACTAACAAAAGACAAAACAGTTTCATGAATAGAAACTCATGCTTCTGTATGTGTATTCCGTATAGTGAATATAGAGTATACCTTCCTTGTTGAGGGGAGGAAGATTGTCCTATGCCATTTGAACAGTTGCGCTGATTATAGCATCAGTAGCAGTTGCATGTGCCTAACCAAAGGAAAAGTCTAATCTCTTTATTAAGTTTTATTGACTATTCAATGACAAGATTGAATATCCATCCAAGGACAGATTCAGTGAATTCCCAAGTAAAGACCTGAACAACTAAAAGAATATCCTTGTTCTCTTTGACAAGGCACATGGAAAATGGTTCATTTACACCCCAGGTTGCGATAGCAGTGTTCTTGGAAAGAAAGAAGCAACTCATGCTGATACCAGTGAGGAACAGGGTTTGTTGTTCATTCCATGTAATTTTGAATGACCACAGTTAATGATATCTAGAGAGGAAAATTCCAAATTAAAAATGACTCCAATTTCTGCTTGTCTAACAGAACCATATAAAGTTGTTGGTTTTTAAAAATACGTATGTTGCATATTTCTTCTTTAAGTATAATTAATTGAACTCATGTTCTGTTGCCTACTGTTGGTGTTTTACGAGGAGGAGAGCTATTTAATATTTGCTGTGGTTTAATGAGCTGATTGACTGTTTCTGTCTGAGAAGAATCTCATTGTCCATTTGTTCAATTCAGCTTCAGGATGAGCTGTCTGAAAAGGAGAAGGAGCTGAAGACAATAAAACTGGACTTAGAACTGCAAGACAGAGCTACAGAAGCTAAGATTGCAGAGAGGATTGCAGGTATAGTAGGCGAGCGTTTAACAGATGGCTGTATGACTCGTACAGTATTCGCGGTTGCTATATGACGTGGCCTAGTGAATGTTAGCTGTATTTGCTAAAGGAGGGAAGGGTTGGCTTTTTTTTTTTTTTTTTTTATGTGACTGTTTAGAGTTGCTTAGAAAATAGGTGGCTTTAACATCCTGGTACTGGTATTAGCAAGAGCTTTACCTGTATTCAAACTGATTTGGGCATTAAATGCATTGTTAACACCATGTCAATCCAATCACAAAAAGGTTGTTTGTTTTGTTGGAAGGTCCTGAACAAACAAGGGGAAATAATGATTACCAGTGCCTCTACCTTTCAACCAGCAGTTCAAATACCACTTATTGTTTTAGCTCGTTCCAAGCAGTACTACCCCCTCCCTGTGTACGGAGATAGTCGCACATTCACCTCAACTGGAGACCTGCACTTTTCTTGAAAAATCTGTTCTTCCGATAGTTAATGAATTTTTATCTGTTGATAATGTCTCCAGAGAATGAGGTTTATACTGTTTTCCTAAATGAAAGGCTTTGTAGTTGAAAATGAATTGATGCTTTAGTTTCTCATTAAATGTTTTTTTAGATAAAAATACAAGAATGGAAACAATTAGTTTGTATTCTTTGGTTTCAGAAGCCTTTGTAGACCCGTACTTCTGTTAGCAAATGATTGTGTGCATCATGTTTAAGTTGGATGAAAATGTTCTCACATCTTTCTCCAAGTGTTTCAAAATATTAACGGGAGCACTTTCATAAAAACAACTTATAGTTTGTTCATAACTGAATAAAGTGTAAGGTAGGTAAAATTGTGTCGTCCTAGACCCATACAATTCCTGTGATAGGATTGCTGTAAGGCGTAGGACTGATACTTGTCCCTAAAATACTGGTACTTGAAAGGAGGGAAAACTGTCACTAGGAGGAAAAAAATAAGCTCTCTAACTGAAGAAACAGATGGTTGACTTCTGTTTTCTTAGGAGACTGATATTATGTGGAGCTGGATAGAAGAGAGGGTTCTTAGATTTTGTGTTGGGGAAAGGGAAAGGAGAAATTAGATACCGTGAAACAAATAGGCATAACATAGGCATAGTTTTATTCTTCTTTTTACATACATAAACTGTTTTCTGCATGTTTAGAAGAAAAAAATGCATTGAATATCATAATTACATCTTGATTATACAGCAGCTGAACTTCTATGCAAATTGTTTGGGTTGAATTCCAAGTTGTGTGTTTGTTCTTGGATGTTTGCACAGTGTTTTACTTCTATGTATATATTGCAGAAATGTGTTCTGTTAAGGTGTTCACTGCTCATTAAAACCTGGAAAAACGACATAACGTGTGTCAATCCTGTTTGTTTTGCCTTTTTACAAATCAATACATTATTTTCTCTGGTATTATTATTTAAACTTTCTAGTTAAAACCTAAACAATATCTTCTCCAAAATTATATCACAAGAATTTGGATATGTATAACATATTCTATACAAAGTCAAATTTTAATCAGAATTTGAACTTGTAATAAGGATGACCTTTCAGAAAAACAGCATCTTTTTTCCCTGCGTTTGCTAGTTCAGGAAGTACCTTTTCTCCCAACTTTTAAAGGATTTTGTTACAGATTCCTCACTATTTAAGATATTTACAGAAAGTATTGTTAATATCTCATGATTGTTTTGCTACATGTTGCACAGTTCTAAGAATCTTAAGAAGTTTGAATAAATAAATATTCTGAAATCTGGCATGATGTTTACCGTACCAAATTTGTGGATATCTCTGCATCTCTGTCATTGAAAAGCCTTGAGGAGAGTTCTGATGGACAACCAAAAGGACTTTGTATATTTAGGGGAAGTCTGTCCTCCTTGTATTAAGTCTTTTGAGGAAAGGAGAACACATGCCGGTATCATTTCATGATGCTGGTTAATGTTTAATTACTGCAGTGTATAACACATGGTAGAGTGAAGCTTGTAAATATGGGTGTTTGCATTTTTATTATTACTTAGTACTGGCTTTATGATAAGAAAATGACCATACAAAACTATATTGTAAAAAACATCAGAAAGGTTCACCATAAAAATGTTTTCTGCTTTGAGGGATATTGCAATTCCATTTTAAAATATGACCCTCTAACTGAGGGAACATAAGCAACCCCTGTGGCTAGAACAGAAAAGCTGAAGAAGAGAGACCATTAAGACTGAAACTGCCCCAGTCCTCAGCAGCAAATGAGCAAAGCTTGTTGTTTTATTGTTTTGCTTTTGTTCAAGAAAAGAAGTGAAAAGAGAAAGTGCAAGTTTCTGAAATAAATCCTGAGAGAATACCGCAAATGAAAGAGACCTGATGTAGGAGGAATTTAATAATACCTGTAATGAACTTAGTTTTGGCATGTCTTCATATTTCATTTATACTAGACTGGAAAATGGGTCTTAGCAGAGCTTTGGGTGCATGACTTTGTGTCATATGTTTCAAGCTAGGCAAAACAAGGAATTTGCCATTTCAGTTGCATCCTCCAAACCATTGGAGGCTGTTGGTGATGATCACAGTTGCCACATGCTGCATATCTTGCGGTTTCTTCACTATTCTTCTATCAGATTTCCTCTCATGTAAGTCAGAGGGTACCATTAATTTCACTGCGCAACCTGCTGAAAAGAAAAAAGGGAGGAGAAAACATTGAGGAAATAAAGGGAAGAGCAAATCATAAAAGAACTAGGACTAAGATAACGAAAAGTGAACATGAGAACACAGAAACCTGTGAAAACAGAAAAATAAATCTTGAAATGCTAGAGTGCAAAAGGATTTCAGATGCCGAAGAGAGAAGGCACTCCTGCTGTGAGAGGAAAGGGAGAAGGAATCTGCTCTCTGAATACAGACTGGGAAGTAAGGATGGAGGTGCTGCAAAGCAAGCAAGTCTTTTAAAAGGGCCAGCAAAGATAGCAGCCACCATAATGAATAACTTGATTTTTACCTTGCAGAAGAAAATATGCATAAGTACCTAGAAGTTTTTAGAGGAAGTAGATGATAGACCATAGTCATGTAGACTTGGGGAAATACCAGGACCCTCAACTTCTGGTAGTTACTACCACCATTGCAGTAACAAATACCCAAGATGTGACGACAACAAACTCAGCTCTTAAGGTGTACTTGTGTTGCCATTACATTGTCATCTACAGGGGCAAAGAATGATTTTTAAGGAAGTTTTTAATCAGGATCAACTTAGCAAGAAGTAGATTGATGCCAGCTCTGCCAGATTGGTTGGGTGTTACCCCTGGCTGAGAACTGGGTTAGCATAAGACAGAAGCTCCCTGAAAGGCCAGGGTAAGGATAGGAGATGTGGGGTAGAAGAAAGTAACATTTTAATACTCTTGTACCTGTTAAACAGCTTTCAGTCTCACAGCAGTAAAACTACTATAAGTACTTTTTTTTCAGTGTATTCATGCAGGAACATGTGTAATTAGCACTTGTGACATTTTTGAATTCTCAAATGTGGTGTGGAGTTGTTCGTGAACGTTACTTAAAGTTTCCTGAATTAGCTTGAAAAATAAATACTGACTGCATATGCAATAGTTTGAGTAGCCAAAAAGAAAACAAATATACAAGTGTCTGTTAGCTTAAGTTAAAGTTTGATTTAACATCCCATAAAGCAAGAGGAAATAAGTAATCTTGCAGTAATTAACTGTGGGTGGTAATAACTTTCAGCGCCAAGGAAAAGTCTTTTCCATTTTTTTTAAAAGCTCACTTTAGATGTTATTTTTATTCTTGCATGTCATCCATTAAAGATTAGCTGTGGAAGGTTGGAGCATGGAGAGATTATGAATGACAGAACAACTCCTGTGGAATAATAATCAGTTTTTGGTATTTAATGCTGTTTGACTTTTGCAGACACATTTCTTATTAACCTTTGGTACAAACAGAAATCCAGGTTCCTGATATCTCATGGAGAAGATGAATTCAAGATCCTCTTCCAATTAAACTGAAATTAGGCCAATATTGGGCTTTAGCCAGAACTCAGTCATTCCCAACGTTTGTGTTTATAAACGTAAATATGAATGATAATTTAGAGTTTAAATAAGTAATGCATATATTTTCACTAACTCAGTTTTATGTATTTAATTCATTTGTACATGTAGTCTACATGATTCTTAGAGTTTTTGATCATCTGTATAATGTTTCATTATATAAGTCTGCTGTCTAGTTTTCTTTATAATAATATGCTGATCAATAACAAAAATTTTGAAATAACAGTAGAATTTGAATACTCTGTATAGGAAGGCAGACGATCCATTTAAAGCAAGGGGGAAAATATTGGGGAGTGCAATTAACAATCTTTTGGCTTAATTTTTGGTGGCCTAATGTGACACATTTTACTTTCAGATTGTTACGGTGGTAGTTTGTCAAAAAGTAGAATGCAGCGCTTTGAAGTGTGATGTATCATGAGCTGGAATAGTTTCAAAATGTAAATCATTGAGCTGTTTATGGGTGGAGGTTATATGTAAAAACAAGCTGGTGTCTCCTGTGTGTTCTATGGCAAGTTTGGCCATTTCTTTCCCCTCCCCCCCATTTTCTGTGTATGCGTGTGGTGGGGAGTTGGGAGACAGAAATAAGGCAAGGACTAGATAAAAATAAGGGTATGTTCTTTGTGTGCGTTTGCAATTGGGCAGGGAATAACAGAGCTCCACTTACCTGTCAAGTTAAACCTTGCAAACTTTAATACAAGATATATATCACTTTCATAGCTCTTCTCCTTCGGTGACTACTCAGTCATCAGCAATTTATTTATTGGAAAAAGTTAAAAAGTATTAATGTTTAAATTTTGAAGCCATCTGTGTTGTTCAGGTACTGACTTTCACAAGCACCAGCTTGAGGTCTTTGTATAATACTCTCCCCTGTTTGTGCCTCAATTTATTTTTTAATTGAATTTGGATCTGAGTACACAAAAACTCTATACGTAGCTGCTATTCAGCAGTTTTAGCCTTTTATTAAAAACACTGTGTTAATAGCA